ATCGTTGATCAGTCCGGGTATAGGACGGCGCGACTCCGCGGTACCATTGCTGCTAGGAGCATCTTTAACAGACTCGTTGTCATAGTCGTCAGCGAAGTCACCAAGCACGCCAATCTGCTCAATTTTCTTCTTGTCCTCAGTAAGCCTCCATACACGAACGTGCCCGTCCCAGCTACCGCTCAGAATAATGTCTGAGTATGGAATTGTCTTGAGGGCTGTGATCCAACGTGGAGTAGGTGCGGGAACGACCCTTTTCGGGTCAGGATTGACTTCTGCTGAGGCGTCGAGGGGATTTATAGCCGGGTCTAAGCCGTGTGCAAGGGGCTCGATGTAAACGGGCTTCTTCTTGGTTACGCTCCAGAGTGCAATGGCACCGTTGTCGCTTCCAGTGACAAAGAGGTCTTCGTCGATCATGGCGACACGATCCATGCTTCCTTCGTGGAGCAGCGATCGCGGGTCAATATCCTGGGGAACATTTTTCTTGTCGACCGCTCCGCCACGGAAAACAAGTTGCGTCTCCTCCATGACTTTCCATAAACGGGCCGTTCTATCTCTTGCGCCGACGGAGACACAGCGCTCCTGGGCAAGGGCGTCAATGTCAACGACATGGTCTTGATGCCCGAAGAGCGTTTCTATGTAGGCTAATTCGTCTAGACTCCATACTTTGACAGTTCGGTCTCTCGATGACGAATACAACTGATTAGTGCCGCGACGAAATGCCAGTCCTGTGATGGCGTCTCTATGATGTGTAAGGACTTTGATCGGTTTCAGCGTATCGGCTTCATAGACAATCAATTTCTTGTCCTCGCCACCCGTCACGACATATTTGCCATCCGGGGAGGCTGCCACTGCCATAATTTGACCCGTGTGTCTCTTGTAATTCTTGTCCTTGCTTTTGCTCTTGTTGCCCTTAATCCATGCCTCCAATTGGGGTCGTTTTCTTGGTGGTGCAGGCGGTTTCTTGGGTTTTCTTTTTGTTGTCTGAGGAAATTGATATTGAGGAAGATCTTGAGTTCTCCATTTGTGTAGAACAAGATCTTTTGTCGCAGTGTACACGAAAGGTGCGCATACAGCGATGGATGTGACTGAGTTGGTATTAGTGCGGAAAAAGGTTTGCGATGCTTTATTGAATGCCAATTGCGTAGCCAATTGGCGGTAGACCCTGCCTTTGGCCTCGGCTACATCTTCTTGAAGCCGTTCAGCAATCAGATCTCGGTCAATATCCGCAGCATCGAACCCAGCTTCATCAACGTGCCCCTTGATATTTTCGAGATAGCGCTCAGCAAGACGGAGTCTTTTCTCGGCCGCGGTTTCGCCTTCATCGTCCGAGCTCTGACGGTCCTCTACACCCTCATCGTCACCGGGGTTTGAGGCGCTGTTGTAGCTTTCATCATCGTCGGAGTCGCTACCAGAGATCGATTCATCTCGGTCGACTCTCCGCTTAGAAATCGCGGCACCAGCCCTGGTGGAGGACTTGGCAGTGGATGGTTTTGCAGCAGCAATTCTTTTCTTTGGCGCTTCTGGAGCAGCAGCTCGCTTTCGCTTTTTCTGCGAGCCAGGGATTGTAAAAAAAGACGACATTGTCGCTCGCCTGGTGAATTCGAGCGATCTGACTTGCCGTCCCGCCTTCGTCTGTGATTTTCTGTGCAGGGTCTCTACGGCCAGAGAAAAAAAGTTCGAGGTGGATAGACAGAAAACCGAAGACCCCATTATTTATGGGTACCGCAGCCAATCATGAGACATTTGCGGTGAATAGTGCCTCCGGGAGCCGGGCGGTGGGGCATGGCACAATCAATAGGCGGTCTCCAAGACAGGCCATCCATTGACGCGCAGCGCTACAGCCTAGCGGGTCAATGGGACATCTCGCGGCGTGAGCTCGTTGCTTCCAAGCAAGCTACATCTAACCTCCATTCACTCATCACTATACCTCCTCTCCTCCGCAACAACCTACACCAGAAACACCAGAAATAGTGGCAACATGTACGCATTATCCGTCCACAGCTGATCTTTAGGATTGAGTGTCTAACATCATGGTATAGGGAGGTTCTGTTGGGCATTACGGGCAAAGACTTCACCATCATTGCCGCTTCTAAGGCAGCGATGCGTGGCGCAACGATCCTCAAAGCGGACGACGACAAGACAAGAGCGCTGAACAAGCACACCCTGATGGCATTTTCAGGAGAGGCTGGAGATACAGGTACGATGACTTGAAACTCTTTCCACGGAGTCTCCAGAAGCTGGCATATGACGGACAAACAAAGCCAAATGCTGACAAGCTTTGCAGTGCAATTCGCGGAGTACATCCAAAGAAATGCTCAGCTCTATTCGATGCGAAACGAGACCGACTTGTCGCCCTCAGGACTGGCACACTTTGTTCGTGGAGAGCTGGCTACGAGCTTGCGATCGCGCCACCCTTACAACGTCAACCTGCTGATGGGAGGAGTTAATCCCATTACGGGAAAGCCTCACTTGTACTGGCTGGATTATTTGGCGTCCCTAGCCGAGGTTCCTTATGCCGCTCATGGTTATGCGCAGTATGTATATCATTAACAGGAAACCTGTTCTCAACATTCTCGTTGAGCATCTTCCATTATTTGCTAACGTCGATCTCTGCGAAGATACTACTGCCTGTCTATCCTGGACAAGCATCACCATCCTGACATTACTCTTGGCCAGGGCATCAAGCTTCTAACGATGTGCACGGATGAGCTGAAGCGACGGTTACCGATTGATTTCAAGGGCATGGTGGTCAAGGCAATCAAGGCAGACGGGATTGTAGACATAGTATTGGATGATGACAAAGTTGTGAAGAGCGCTTAGAGATGGGACGAAAGGCGGAACCTGTACTAATATCACGACAACCGGCTTTAGAGGCTGACAAATAAGACGATGTCTTCTAGACACCACGTACGTGGCCCTCAGATGTTAATGTAGGCCACTACCAATATGCTCTGCAGAACAGGTGAACTGAGGATGATGTGTGTACTACTTGCCTTGGATCTAGTGGGTTACATTGCGTTGTCACAAGTATTGAGGCTTACAAAGATGATTAACTATTGCCTTTAGGCATGTACGGCTGTATACCCGGCAAGTCCACTGGTGGAGTATTTATCTTTTGCTGCGCACAGTGGGATCGTTGTCAGTTCTGTGACGCAGTGGTTTGGAGTAGTATAAACAAGGTGGCAATTAGGCAACAGGCTGAACTGCAAGAACATGGACGACAAAAAGTCAACCGGTGTAGTAGTCCTGTCAACATTGAAGTTAATTTGGTGCCTAGCCCGTAGCACGTGCCAACGTCATTGAGGTGTCAAGGTGGACGGGCTACGGCGTTACGCCACCCAAAAGGATTCTGATGATCCTGGCGGCGTGGCGAGGGCAAAGTTGCCAATATTGGGCCCAGAAATTGCCAAAGTCTGGGAGTCAATGGTCGGAAACTTCTCGGTTGAAAAGGTCAACCGAATATGGCGCTACAATGTCCTAAACTGATGACAGATATTGCCCCAAACCTGCTCGTTTCAGATCATCTTGGGCGTTCTCTTCGTTGCAAAGCTGAGGCATTGTGAACGTCAGCTCCCTACGCGCAAACCGTTTCTTCTAAGTACCTAGGAGGCACTGTAATGTAACTGGGCGAAACGCCTGTGTGAGCGACAGTTAAAACGTCGAAAGGAAGAAGTATTAGATTAGAAGGACTCGAATCGCGGACGTGGAATCAGCAAAAAAAAAAAGGTGCCACGATCTGGTGGCAGACTGCTTCTTCACGCACGTGAGCTGGGCTTGAGCATCCCATCTCCCATCCCATCAGATGGTCGAGGGTTTGTCATGACGTTAATACCGCCGGCGTTTGTGCCACAATGGTATTCCGTGGAAGCAAGTACCTCTGAGGTAAAAGTCTGAGTCGTGGCCAACCCTATTTGTAGGCGGACTGGCCGTCCTATACTTGCGGGGTACCCAGGTACTTAAGTAGCTAAGGCGCCGGTTGGTCGGGGTTGCCTTGCCATAGATCCTGTCAATGATGGTTTGCTTCCGCCGGATTACCATGACGGCGCCTAACGTGGAGACGAGGGTTGCGACTATCTGGTCATAGCCTTTGGACGGCGCTCTCTCCAGCGATCTATCAACGAGGCTTGCAAGAAGAGCGACGAGAAACTGGCGAGTTTCTGAAGCTTGGCTTTGACTTTTACACAAAACGGCTGCTAAAGCCAAGGGCGGTCTCCGTACCGAGTACGGAGTAGATCTTGCGATCACTACGGAGTACTCGACAAAAGCCTCTAGGTACTTAGTACCTGGGTACTTCAGTACGCGACGATCGCAGCGTCAAATTTCTAGTGTCTCGTTGGCTAGCGCCTGGGCCTGGGGGCTGCCGCAATGCTCTGTTAGTGGCTGCCACCAGCTGATCTGGAGCCCCGAGGTGCGCAGTTGCGTCTTGTAAGTGGTCCAGTCGGTGTGCCAGCAAAAGAGGCAGAGTAAAAAAAAATTTGACCCTCCTCGATTGGGCACTAGCCTCTTTGTGGTGGCCACCCGCGAACCGATTTTTTCCCCTTCCCTTTTTCGCCTCCAACGTCTCGCTCGTCCCTTTTCCTTTCCTCCCACAAACTCAGACCTCTTTACCACAAAACCTGTCATCTCCCCTCCTCTCATCCTCTCTCATCATCTAAGGTCATTGTCGAGACCGTCTGTCTTTCCTTTGAAGATTCTGTTTGCTTCTTCGAGGGATCGTGCAAGCACCCGCTGTTTTTCTTTATAATATATCCGGGGAAGAAACCCAGGAGCACAGGCCCTTCCTTTCTTTCTCTTCTGTCACATCGTTTATAGTACGACTCGGCAGACACGCGGTTCTGATTTCACTCTTTCGTCTTTTTGCGAGGGTGATTCTCCCTACTACGACCGATTTCTTGTCTCGTTTTTCGCATCTTTTGTCAGATACGAAGAGCATATTTTGCGAAGTCCACGCTACGACGAACCGAAGAACCCGATACAACAACTCACTCTTCACTTTCAACATGGCGGAACAACTTAACATGGGCGGCTTGAGCCTTGGCGATGGCCAACAGCCTCAACGCTCGTACATCCCGCCCCATATGCGAAACCGTCCTTCTGCACCCCCGCCCCCCGCTGCTGCTCCCATGAACGGCGGTGCCCCCAACGGTGCTCCCAATGGCCTCAGCAATAGCTCTTGGGCTGGGTAAGTCTTGTCCTTTGCTCTCTTTTTGTATACCTACAATCGCACAATGGCTAACGTGAAATCGACAGCAACAACACTAACTATGCTGGTCGCCAGCAGAACAACTATGGACCTGACGGCGGTGCCCCCCCTACTTTCCAGAGTAACCGTCGCGGCGGTTGGGGTGGCCGTGGAGGTGGTTACTCAGGTGGCCACGATGGTCACTCTGGCGGTGGTGGCTACACAGCCCGAGGCTCTGGCGATGGCCAGTGGCGCGATGGAAAGCACATTCCCGGACCGGCTAACCCCCGTCTGGAGCGTGATCTCTTTGGCACAGCAGACGATCCTTCCAAGCAGCATACCGGTATCAACTTCGAGAAGTACGACGATATCCCCGTTGAGGCGTCTGGCCACGATGTCCCTGAGGCCGTGCTCCAGTTCACCACCCCCCCTCTGGACGAACACCTCTGCCGCAACATTGAGCTGGCTCACTACAAGGTTCCCACCCCTGTCCAGAAGTACTCTATCCCTATCGTCATGGGCGGACGCGATCTCATGGCTTGTGCTCAGACTGGTTCTGGCAAGACTGGTGGTTTCCTCTTCCCCATACTTTCCCAGGCGTTCATTAATGGCCCTTCGCCCGTGCCAGCCAATGCTGCTGGCCAGTTTGGCCGTCAGCGCAAGGCCTACCCCACCTCATTGATCCTTGCTCCCACCCGTGAGCTGGTTTCTCAAATCTATGACGAAGCCCGCAAATTTGCCTACCGATCCTGGGTCCGCCCCTGCGTTGTCTACGGCGGTGCCGATATCGGCTCCCAGCTCCGCCAGATCGAGCGAGGTTGTGACCTCCTGGTTGCCACTCCTGGTCGTCTGGTCGACCTGATTGAGCGAGGCCGCATCTCCCTCTGCAACATTAAGTATCTTGTTCTGGATGAGGCTGATCGCATGCTTGACATGGGTTTCGAGCCCCAGATCCGTCGCATTGTTGAGGGTGAGGACATGCCCCCTGTGGCTGATCGTCAAACTCTGATGTTCTCGGCCACCTTCCCTCGCGATATTCAGATGCTTGCCAGAGATTTCCTCAAGGACTACGTTTTCTTGTCCGTCGGTCGTGTTGGTTCCACATCCGAGAATATCACCCAGAAAGTCGAGTTTGTTGAGGACATTGACAAGCGATCTGTCCTCCTCGACATCCTCCACACCCACGCCGGTGGTCTGACCCTTATCTTCGTCGAGACCAAGCGCATGGCCGACTCGCTCTCCGACTTCCTCATCAACCAGAGCTTCCCGGCAACCTCTATTCACGGTGACCGTACCCAGCGCGAGCGCGAGCGTGCCCTCGAGTTCTTCCGCAATGGTCGATGCCCGATCCTGGTAGCCACTGCCGTTGCTGCTCGTGGTCTTGATATTCCCAATGTCACTCATGTTATCAACTACGATCTGCCCACCGATGTCGATGACTATGTCCACAGAATCGGTCGTACTGGCCGTGCTGGAAACACTGGTATTGCCACTGCTTTCTTCAACCGCGGTAACCGTGGTATCGTCCGTGAGCTTATGGAGCTTCTCAAGGAAGCCAACCAGGAGGTTCCCCCCTTCTTGGAGGCCATTGCTCGTGAGTCATCCTTTGGCGGCGGCGGCCGAGGCGGCCGATCTCGTGGTGGTGGTGGTGGTGGTGGCCGTGGCTCGGCTAATCGCGATTTCCGCAAGTTTGGCGGAGGTGGCGGCGGCGGCGGCGGCTTCGGCGGCAACAGCGGTGGTGGTTTCGGTGGCCCCCAGCAGAGCTCTGGTTACGGCAGCGGCTTCGGTGGTCCTCAGGGCGGCTATGGAGGTGGCGGTGGTTACAGCGGCGGCGGCGGCAGCTACGGAAACCCTGGCGGCCCTGGTGCTCAGTCCTGGTGGTAGAGACTTCATCTGCTACCACCATCTTCTCGACCACGATACAGTGGTTGCACATGAATCTGTGCATTTTACACGCACTGTGATTTGAACACTGCATTTTTTTGTTGCTGATGCATACATTTATTCCTACTTGTTGTTTTCTCACTTTATATGTTACTTTTTCAATGATTTTTTTTGGACGGCACGGCGGCATCATGACCTGCGAAGACGGATGAGTGCCTACTAGGTTCACCGGCTTTTTGGCAGTATACGGTCACGGGGCATTCACGAAGCATCTGATAGATTGCATTTGTTTTGATTTCGACACCCTCCTCGCTTGATACCCCTTAGACCGAGAGATGGGGGAACTGCAGGCACTGGCGGAAACGTGGTGATATATAATGGATCTGAAAAAGAGAAAAGCAGGTCCGGTCATGAGCATCACGATTTCTGTATGTTTCTACCGCCTAGAGAGGGCGTTGTTTTCCCTTTCCAAGGGGCATATTTTTCGCTTTCATGATAGAGGGTCATGGTATCGCCGTACAGATATAGACAAAAGTGGATTTACTCGGTTCTCTGGTCGGAATTGCTCATTTTGGTCTCTCGATGGAGAGATGTCCCGAATGAAAAGAGACGAGAGCAATGAACATAGATGTGGAGGAAAGAAAGGTCACTCGGGCCAGTTTTCCTCTGTTTTATATTCGGAGAGCATGGACGAGGCCGCACTCGACGCATAGGTTATGGATTTTGGTTGGGCACGGCACGCATCAAAGGGCTCTCGTTCTTATTGACAGCCGTTTTGCACAGAGGAAATGGGACACCGGACTTGGGTTTTAGAGGATGCCCAGGTCACATTGTCCCGGTTGCTTTGTGCCTCATGAATAGATAGGACAACCAGAGCGGACTGAGGAGTCCAAAATAAAAAAAGGACAGACGCTTTTTTGCAACATTCGATTCTTTGGTGCCTCTACATTTTGACCAAATTCAGGTTTTACGTGACGTGATGGATTTCCAATAGGCTTGGCATTTTATTAGGAAGATGGCGTGGGGACACTGTGGGCAACAGGAGGATGGTGCGTGCTCTGCATGTGTCGTTAAGTTTAGTTCGTAATCTATCGTAACATCTGCTATGAAGGAGCTGTGGACTTCTACCAATACTAAGAACATCAAGGCAGAAAAAGGAACACACAAAAGTAAGTCATCACGGCGAGCGGCCCCTTTCGACATGAGTCGGCTCAACAACAGCCGGTAGTGGCTCATCCACAACAATAGCAGGCGCATTTACCCGCGGCCCAGGAGCATCGCCCTCGACGCGGCCCTCCTCCCTCTCCGCCTCATCGCCTCTCTTTGACCTCTTCAATCCGCCGACGAGCCTCGCCCACACCCGCCCCGAAGCACGATACACGGCGACAAAGGGGTTGCCCACGACGCCGGCAGCCGCGCCAAACCACTCATCCCGGAACATGCGCACCAAAACGGCCCACGGGAGACATATGCATGCCACCAAAACCGAGATGGCCCACTGGTCGCCGGTTAACCCCTTGGGGCTGATGGCGAAGGGGCTGCCGCCGACGAATATAATGGCTACTTGAAGGCCTACCATGAGAATGTTAATCAGGATAAAGAAGTAGTTGCGATGGATGCCCTCAAAGATGTTGAGCTTATTATCGAGGCGGCGGCTATTGAACTCGTTGAATATTTGCATCCATACAAAGGTGTTGAAAATGAGGGTGTCGAGCTGCAGCCGGACTTGGGGATCGTCGGTGTTGTAATTGAGGAGGCTGCCGCCGGCAAAGTACAAGGTGAATGTGGCAGTGAGTTGGAATATAGACTGCCCGATGATCATTTTCCACATCTACAAGGCATTGTCAGCTTTGAGGGAGGTTGTGGAGAAAGAAAGAGGGGGGAGACTATACGTTTGTAGTGATGAGAGGTGCCTTTTTGCCCTGGGGCGGACGGTCGAGGATCCTTTCGGTTGCGGGATCCGTGGCCAGCGCCAGGGCGGCAAAGGTGTCCATGATGAGGTTGACCCAGAGGAGTTGGACGGCTTTGAGGACAGACTTCATGTCTGGGTCGTAGACGGCGGTGGTAAAGGCGAGGACAACAGCGGTAATATTGACGGTAATTTGGAACTGTGGGAGGTCAGCATGCTACGAGATGGCCGTGACAAAGGGGGAGGTGGCTGTTACCTGGAGGAACTTCTGGACGGCGTCGTTGACGGCTCTTCCCCATTTCAAGGCTGTTACAATGGATGTGAAGTTGTCGTCCATGAGGACAATGGCGGACGCCTCCTTGGCGACTTCTGTACCCGAGATGCCCATTGAGAAGCCGACATCGGCTGCCTTCAGAGCCGGTGCGTCGTTGGTTCCATCGCCCGTCACTGCAACCGTCTCGCCGAGCTCCTTGAGCTTAGTGACTAGAACCCGCTTGTCCTCTGGAGATGATCGGGCGAGGACCTGCAGCTTGGGCAGCACGGCTTTCATGTCTGGGTCGTTGAGCTTTCGAAAGACGGGACCTTCCATGACGACGCCGCCTTGGGTATAAATCCCACACTCGGCGGCAATGGCTCTCGCTGTGACGATGTTGTCACCTGTCACCATGCGGACTACGACGCCTGCGTGCTGGGCTTTGCGCACAGCCTCGGGGACGCCTGGGCGGACGGGATCCTGGATGCCTACCACGCCGAGGAACACGAGATCGCAAAGGAGGGAAGGGAACTTTGCCTGGCCGTCTGCTATTTCAGCATGCGCGGGGGGCCACGATTCGTAGTCTTTGTAGACGAGACCGATAGTTCGGAGGGAGTTGCTTGCGTACTGCTCAATGGTGGAGAGCAGTTGGCGTCTTTTAGCGGTCGCGAGGTCGTCTTCCGCAAGGGATTTCGGATCGGCAATGGCAGAGCAGTATCCAAGGAGAATCTCCGAGGCACCCTTTACCAGGAGGCGGTATCCGGAGCCGTCTTGGAGACGAACCACGGAGCCCATGCACTTCTTGTCGGAGTCAAAGGGGAACATGTGCACGACCGTCTCGTTGGCACGCGTCTCGGCCAGAGACTGCAGGCCGAGATTATCCCTGGCGAGCTGGAGGAGAGCGGTTTCAGTCTTGGACCCGATGAAGGCGGGCTGGCCGTTCTCTTCGCCTTCAAAGGCGGTCGAGTTGACGGCAACGGATTGCGTGAGCAGGGACTTGGTGTCAGGAGGAAGCTGGGATGCCCACTGGGAAACAGACTCCGTCTCTGACTTGGAGAAGCTGGTTGTGCCGAAAGTACCGGCCACAACAGTCATTTTGTTGGTCGTCTACAAGCAGAATTAGTCGAACATACTGGTGGTTAGGTCCTGAGTAAGGGGCGTTTTCTACGTACCAAAGTACCCGTCTTGTCAGAACAAATCGTCGTGGCATTGCCCATGGTCTCGCACGCGCGTAGCATCCGCACCAGGTTATTCTCCTTGAGAAGTCTCGTCGTTGCAAATGCTAGTGCAAGCGTGACAGCCAGGGGTAAGCCCTCGGGTACAGCCACCACTATGATGGTGATGGCGACGATGAGAATGTCCATGAATGCAGAGGCCTTTACGGCCGAGGAGCGATCGTCGTTGGGAAGGTCGACGAGGAAGCGGACGAGCAAAATGAAGAAGAGGAGGGCGGCGGCGGCGCTGCCGAGCTTGGCGATGGCTAAGGCGAGACCTTGGAGTTTCTTTTGTAAGGGCGTGTCCTCGACCTCGGTGCGGACCGACATCATGATCTTGCCAAAAGACGAGTTCACACCGACCGAGGTGCATACAAACGTGCCCATGCCTGGAGAATTGTCAGGAATTTGGTGTGCGTGAGATCGATCGGGGGAGACTTACCTTCAAGGACTTTTGCGCCGGAGATGATGAAGGGATCCAACTTTCTGGGGTTGTGGCCGGCTTCCAAGGCCCTCATGACGTGGTCGCCGCCCGTCTTCTTGAGCGCATCCGACTCACCCGTCGCAGAAGACTCGTCACACTTGACGTCGTGGCCGTTGATAAAGATTCCATCCACAGGGACCAAGTCGCCGGGTTCCAGGTGCAGCACGTCGCCGACCAGAATGTCGTGGACGTTGATCATGAATGATTTCCCCGAGCGTATGACCTTGATCTCGCGGTCCTCCTTCTTGGCGTTCAGCTTCACAAACGCCTTTTCCTTTTGCCAATCATTGAGAGAGGCAACAGCCGTAACGACGATGATGGCAACGCAGATGGCTACGCCTTCGACCCAGTCTACTGGCGGCGGAGCACCAGGCTCCTTGTGCACACCAAATGTTTCGTATAAGCCCAGGGCGAGGGAGATGACGGCCGCCACGGTCAGCAAGATGAGGACCTTGTCGTTGTACGCATTCCACATCAGCTTCCACAAGGGGGTCGGCTTCTTTGCAGGGAGGACATTGCGCTTGTACACGCGGATGCGGTCGGTGAAGGCCTCGGACGAATGGTTTGGGTTGGGGGCAGACTTGTCCTCGCCGATGCTGCTCAGAGCCGACGAGCGGACGGCTTGGTCAAAGGAGATGGCCCCAGGGACAGATGTCTCGTCGACGTTGAGGCCGCTGGCCGTGTCTGTCTGCAAGCCCTTTGCGATGCCACGCAGGCCGCCCAGGGCTTGGAAGGCGGCCAGGGACTTGGGATCCAAGAGCTTGCTCAGCTGGCCTGGGGAGAAGGCGAACGGGTTGTTCTCCACGCGGAAATACTCTTCGGTGCCGGGATCTGGCCGCAGGGCCGCAGAGAGCTCATCGCTGATGCTGGCCGTCCGGCTGGTGGCCACGGTCGGGGTGAGGAAGGGATTCGACGAGGCAGACGTGATTGTATCCGCAGAGCTGAGGGCGCGAGGCCGCCCGCCGACCTGCAGCAGGGACGAGGAGGACTTTTCACTCGCCATGATGTATGTTGTGAGCGGCGATACGGCGGCATGTGACGCTTTCAGGACGCAATGTGGTGGATGTTGATGACTTGATGCTGCACGGCTGCGTCTGCCAGCACTTATAAAACAGGGACGAGCGAGGGCAGTTCATGAGA